ATATTATTAGTATTATTATTATTATTGCAGATAAGCTCCAAAGGGATTGATCTAATACACTGATGAAAAACAAATCCAAATCCAAATGTGCCCCCACGACCCAGCCCCACCTCCCGGCTCATGTTACAACCTCTTGGTCCACTGCATTAAGTCAGAGCTGTATGTTTAAGGTCTCCACTGGGGGAAAAAAAAAGATTTCCATCCATTCTTCATACATTTACCGAGCATCTATTGTGTGTGAGCAACTGTGCCAGCTGCTGGGGAATCAAAGTAAGACACCGTTACCTGCCCTCTCCAGGGGAGATCGACACCTAGACAAGCAATTCTAATAGAGTGTGACAAGTAGAACATGCCAACTACCATGTGAGGGGATCCCAGGTAACAGGAAGGGAGAAAGAAGTAAACGAGGCTTCACTCACTGAAGTGACATCCAATCAGGGATATGCACGTAATTGGGAGTACAATTGAGGGACAAGAGATGACTATTCTAGGCAGAGGGAAAACTATTGCTCAGAACCATAAAATTGAGCATGAATAGTCTAGCAACTATAATAAGAAAAACTTACAACAGCCAAATTTAAATATGTATTATTAACCATTATTTTAAAATAGACTTTAGAACAACATAAATAATAAACTACTTTGCTCCTGAATGCTTAACAATACCTCAAACAGTAGCGTGTTTCTGGAATACTTACCTTTCAGCAAACAATTGTTTTCTGTCTTAAGCCTAACAGCCTCTCCAGCCCCCAGTTAGTCCCAGACACAACCTTAGTTGGTCTGTTCAACTTTCTAATAGGTTTCACTAAAAGTAAATTGAAAAACCTGAGAGAGCAGCACAAATTACACTCGAAGTGAGAAACCATAGCTATTAGTACTCTTGGTATATAATTCTCCAAAAATTGGTCATAAGAGCCTACAGGCTCAAAAACATAGTTTACTTTTATATTAACTAAACTGTAGCTTCCTGAATTTGAAATTATTTAAGGCAGATGATCCCAGTTTTTTCCTTTTGCACTTTTTATATAATTCCTTAGTTTCCTGCCTTCCCTTCTGCCATGGCCCTTCCTAAAGGTGATTAGAGGGCCCCATCCCTCAGTCCAACCAAGTTATTTTCCCTCTCTTATGATATACTCAACAGAACTCAACCTCTAAAACATTTAACAGAATTCTAACTTGTCTGTCCATTCATTCATCCAACATTCGAGTCTTTTCAAAGTTGGAACTACATAGTTCCTTTCCATTTTTTTCTGTGTATTTTCAGTGGCTGTTTTGTGAGTTATTAAAAATAAAGTTTAGGGGCCGGCCTGGGGGAGTAGCGGTTAAGTTCGAGTGCTCTGGTTCCGTGGCCCGGGGTTTGCAGGTTCGGATCCTGGGTGCGGACCGATGCACCACTTGTCAAACTATGCTGTGGCGGCATCCCATATAAAGTAGAGGAAGATGGGCACAGATGTTAGCACAGGGCCAATCTTCCTCAGGAAAAAGAGGAGGATTGGCAACGGATATTAGCTCAGGGCTAATCTTCCTCACAAAAAAAGTTTAGAAAAATGCTGAAAGAAAAGCATTTTCATTATAGGAAAATAGGAACTTGAAAGAAAGTAAAATGAAGAAAATAAAAAACATCCATAATCTCATCACCCCGAGAAAACTACAATGAAATGCTAGTGTATAATCTTCACTCTTTTCTAGGCATTAAAAAAATAAAAATAAAAAAGGAGCAGTATTCTACATACTGTTTTTTTTAAACTAGTTTTCTCTTAAACTACATGGTAACCATGTTTCCATGTCGTAAATCTTCACCTATAACCTCATATATATATATATATCGATATATATATATATATAGCTGAGTATTATTCCCAGCATTGCTATTTTCTCAGTCAATTTCTGCTTCAAACACAGCACACAGGGCTGTTAACTCCGATGATGTTTGAAGCCCTTCAGAGTTTCTTCATAACAAGGCATGGTTCTCTCTTCTTTTGCTGCCTCCCACCCTTGCCACACTTACCCCAAAACACACTTATAACAACTGAACTAAAGAGATAGAGGGAGCTTGACTTCTGATTGGTGGTTGAAAGTTTATTTTTATGCCTGCCTGTCTGTTGGTTGTGCAAATTCCTGTCAGTTCCTCTATGTGTCTTGCTCTCACCTTTTAGTCTCCAAATTTCATCAATTGATTGGCAGTTTAGTAGTTGTTGTAAGTGTGTTCCGGGGTAACAGGTGAAATCAGAAGGTGTCCACACATGAGATGCTACATAGAGCTGTGTGTGCAAGATGTCACAGGTGCCTGGCTGAGGGGTTGAAATCCAGCCTGCCATGTTTAGGACTGGAACCCTCTGGAGGAAGGGATGTTTGTTTCCAAATTGCACAAAGACACTGTGTGGACCAGCCGGGCTGTGGTTCACACAGGAGAAGCAAAGAATGACCTTGCGTCTGTTCAGAAGCAGCAGGGGAGTAAGCAAGAGTTCATGGTTACAGCTGGCGTGTTTAAAGAATTCACAGTGGGGGAAAAAAGATAAAAGACAAGGAAAGGAAAAACACAAATAATGAATTAAAAAAAGAGATACAGGAGAGGTCTAAGAGGAAAGAAGAGATGGAGGACAGGCCTGGCAGAAGATATCACGTAATGGTCCTGATGTCATGGTTGCGTAGGATTGATGACATCAGTAAAGGCCAGAATGGCAGAAGTGAATGATACATCATGGCAGCCTGAATCATTTGAGGGCAACATCTTCACAATACCACTTTGAGAAGGTTGAGTAGATTAAGGTTGAATGGAAGAAAGGATAAAGTCAGAGGACATTGAAGGATGTTTGGAGGAAAAAATAGCATAAACCCAGAACTAAACAACAACCGCTTTTTAAATTAGAAGCTAGCTGGCTCCCATAAGAGACTAAGTCCTCTGAGCTTCTAGTGAACACCGCACCTTAAACAAGGAGGAGAACACATGAAACGTATACACAGCACAGGAGCCGTCTGAGTCGCACATGAGCTGGTTGATGTGGCTGCGCCAGGCTTCCTCTGCATCATCACAGGCCGTGGGCTGAAATGCAGCAAGGATGGCCGAGAAGAAGGGCGAGGGAGGGGGAGAGACTCCCCTGTCACCTTCTCCAAAGCTGTAAAAAATGAAAACGACTTTGTCAAGAAGTGATGTCTTTCTCATCCTTCACCGGGTTGTCTAAGTTCTAACCCTGATTTCTCCTCCTGAGGTAGCCCATTCTGCCCACTCCTCCATCTGAAGTTGCCTAGGGAACCTGGCTTTTATTCAGAGGTCTCCAGGATTCTTTTTTTTTTTTTTTTTTATAATTTTATTTATTTATTTTTCCTCTAAAGCCCCGGTAGATAGTTGTATGTCATAGTTGCACATCCTTCTAGTTGCTGTATGTGGGACACGGCCTCAGCATGGCCAGAGAAGCGGTGCCTCAGTGTGTGCCCGGGATCTGAACCTGGGCCGCCAGCAGCAGAGAGCATGCACTTAACCGCTAAGCCACGGGGCCGGCCCTCCAGGATTCTTTTTTGATTCTAGAAAATAGAATAAAAATCAAGGGCCGGCCCCGTGGCTTAGCGGTTGAGTGCGTGCGCTCCGCTGCTGGCAGCCCGGGTTCGGATCCCGGGCGCGCACCGACGCACTGCTTCTCTGGCCGTGCTGGGGCCGCGTCCCACATGCAGCAGCTAGAGGGATGTGCAGCTGTGACATACAACTATGTACTGGGGCTTTGGGGGAAAAATAAATAAATAAAATCTTTAAAAAAAAAAAAAAAAAAAAAGAATAAAAATCAAAATAGAATCAAAATTTCACCTCTAGAATTTCTGTGATTCCTCCAATTCTGATTTCCTTTATACAGATTCAGTACCTCTTTTAGCCTTCAGCAATTGTCTCTTACTTTCCTTACTGGCCATTCCTCAGACACAGTATTACTTTCTATGCTTTGGCACTTTCATTTTTCACTATGAAAAATTATAACATAAATTTTGAATCTTTTAACTCTTTCTTTGTGGACGGAGAGTATTAATGAGTACATGTGCACAAATGCCCAGAAGAAAAGGGTGGAGGGAGGAAAGGAAATGAAAAGAGAAATACAGGGTGAGAGAGCAGAACGAAGAGAGGAGAGAGAATGAACAAAAAGTGAACAGTCAAGTTCTTCTCTAGGGATTACCTGAAGCTTTTTCTTTGATGGACAGAAACTGGTCCCCATAACAGAAAGCCTTTGTCTAGCCATATCAAGAGCTTTTACCTAGTTCTTATTTTCAACATTCAGAAGAGTGATTTTGGGATTTTGACTTTCTTCTCCTGAAGTAAATCTGTAGCCTTATTGTAGATTTATTTAATGTGGCATTTATTCTAGATGCCACATTAGTGTTTTTATCTATTCCTCTTTATATTTCTTCCCATTTGTCTTCTCTAACTATATCTCACTAGTCTCAGAAATATCAGCCACTAGGCTGAAAGACACCACTTAAAAAAAAGAGTAGGTATTTAGTTTATAAAGAACCTCTTGTTTGGTCTGTTAACTCAAAATAGAAAGAACTCCTCGTTCCCAAGCCTTGCCAGTCTTGCTTATCCTCAAAGCTTACAAGGCCTGGACCGTGTCCCCAGGCTCCTCTTTGGCTTTTTGTGTCACTCTATGGCTTTATGAGTTCCTACGTAAGTACCCTTTTGGGTTTCACATAAGGCCCTATGCTGGGGTTGGATGATCCCAACCTGCTGAGAGCCCTCCAAGTTATATGTCAATTTGGATGCCTTCATTAGAAAGTCCCCTCCCAGGCGTGCAAGTGTGATATATAACTTGAGTTAGAGTGAATGCAACACAGTGTGCCACGTGTGCTTGCACCACTCGTGTCCACCAAGGGCTCCTTTACCTTGCAAGGGTATACTCGTCCAGGGCTCGATTGCCTTTTTCTTCTGCCTCAGTCATATCCAGGCTAAAGCTATCGCTGCATTCGAAAGTTGCGGGGAGTTCATTGATGGAACTGGAAAGATCATCCTCATGCACGGTGGTGTCTTCTTCCTCCTGGACAGCTTCAGCCTGGAAGAATACAAAGAGGAAAGGATCCCCTCAATATGTAAGAATATATATAGGAAAATCCATTTAACTAAAGGAAAAATAAAAGAGACAAATCCTGAGAGTGATAGAAATTGAGGGCATTTGTTTTCTAGCTGCGATATAGTCTATTTCTATAACTGGACTCAGGAATTCTCTGAAGTACTGCTCATTCTTTATCTTCTTTTCAGTCTTTTACACAACAGTTTCCAAAGAGGCTCTCAATAGATTACCATACTTGACCCATGCTTATAGGGTATAAGTGCTAGACTTGGAAAAGACCATAGAGACCCCCTGGTCCAACCTCCACATTTTATACATGAGGAAATGGATGCTCCACGTGGGAAAGGGACTTGCCTAATATGAGGTGGATAATCAGAGCTGGTGCTGGGAGTAGACACACACCACCTTTGGATTCAGACTCTTTCCATTGTATAACCCCAGCCTTCTAAAACAAGCCTATCCAGAGTTAACTTTTCAATATAGAATCCCTTACCTATAGAAACTAGAATTTAGAATCATCAGTGACTGGCATAGTAGATGCTCAAGAAATATCTGCAGTGTGCATGAGTGATCTATAGTTATTCACTGAGTCTGCCATGTTGATAGGCCTCTCCATACTGAAAATCTTCTAAGAGCCACTCACATATATGCTTTACTCTTGGGTATATACCTTGAAGATAATAGATATGAGAGGCTGCTCTCATGTGGCTATAAATTGTAGACTGAGCAGTGAAATGAAAGGGCTGTAGGTAAGGCAGAGCTGGGATCGGTGAAGGGCAGGAAAGAGACATAGCGAGTAAAATGGAAAAAGAGGCTGGGCTTGAACTTGGGCCAGGGGGAAATCAGCTGGAGAACTGATTGTTCTTTATGAGAGGAAGGAAGGCAGCTGGGTTACAGACCAGAAGAGGAGGGAAGAAATTACACGTACATGTTTCAGTGAGTCATTTTCTTAAAACAAAAACAAAATCAAGGCAAAATAGAAATACATATGAATTAGAGCGTTATCATGGGTTAACATCTGGCCACCCAGTTAGTAATATTTTGAATCAAGGATTAATACGGAAATTAACAGGAATGTTTAAAGATATGTTAGGGAAACAGGATATCTCATGTCTTTGAAGGAATTGCTCGTAAATACTGAGTTTCAGAGGCTTATCCATCTCTGCTCCTTCCTGCTTTTTAAAACTACAGTGGTACCAACGAGACTGGCCACTGGTGACTGGTCTGGGTTATCACTGTACATAAACGTAATCTGTTAGGGGAGGGTTGAGTTCTTATAAAAATATCTTTCATTTTCTCTTTCTGACATCATAGATATATCAAACACTGCAGAAATACAGCTCATGTGAAAAACAGAGATAGCTTTTTTGAAATTAGACTCAACCTTTCCTTGATAGAATTAGATGATTTCTGTATGAGTCCACAAAAATATTACTACTTAGGCAATGCTTTCTATGAGAAATCTATACAATTTAGCATTCAAATAGAACAGTTGAGAAAAATGACTATTCTAAGACTGAGAAAGATCAAATGCTAATAACTTCACATTTATTTTGTGATGTCCTTTCCATGAAATTTAATTTCTTAATCTTAGGATTCTGGCATTTTAATATCAGACAAGTTTCCTTTCTGGCCCTTTTTTGGCTAAAAAAGGACTCCGAAAACTCTAAGAATCCTGATCATAGTCCCTTTGCAGTGGGGCAATCTTAGAAATATTCTTTAAGCTTCAGTCTTTTTAGGTGATTGCAATTTGATTGGTTGCCCTTGGTTTAAAGTACATAGATTTTCCTAGATCTCAGACCTGTTGTTAGTGTACTGTAAAAGAATACAGAATAGCTAGTGTTATATTGTTTTCCATTAGAAGAAATATCAGAAAGAATATAATTTTATACATTTTTTTCTATTTTATTTTCTCTTTCGGACTTACACTACCATAACCAAACTCAGGATAAAGAAAACTTTATCCTAACACCAATAGGTTATTTCAGAATTTCTAATATAAGAAAATAAAATTCTATACTGATGGGAATATATGTGAGCACATATGTGAACACAGTGTGGGAGTGAATGTTTTATGGATAGGATATTTATGGAAATTTTGATAAAATAAACTTTAAGTGAAATATACACTGTAAGATTTCTTTTAAGCGGACCTTTTAAATATGAAAATTGTATCCATTACTTACTTTTCTCCTCAGTCTGGCCAGGACAGTTTTGTGCAAATCTGGCATGATACTGTGATTGACATTGAAAATTTCATATGCCAAAAAGCAAGAATCGAATCAATGTACAAATTGTATAATTGGTTCCTACATAGGAAAAAATTTCCCCAGATACATGCATACACCCACACCTCACTTAGCATATTGTTCTATAAAAGTCATGACAAAGAACAGCAGTTTGCCAGTCACAGCGATCTCAGAATACACCAGTTTGTTTTACCATTAATCAGCAATGTTCAAGCCATATGGAAAATGCAAAATGGTTCATTTAAAGAAATCCTGAAATCAGATTTCTTTCAACCAACAAGAAGATGGCTGCTTAAGTTTGTGAGGGTAAAACAACTTCAAAACATAGGCTCAGGTGCACAAACTCAATTATTTCAAAAAAGTAAGAAAGAAAAAGATAAAGATAGTCCCTCCACTTATAACTCCCTAAGATTTCTAAGAAAATTGGAAGTACTTTTTCTTTAAGAAAACTACAATCATAATTGCCAAAATCTCTTTACCTTTGAACCCTCAGAAATCTGAAGATTATTCATATCAGGCAAAGAAGCGTCAAAGCTAGCCATTCTGCTGTTAAAGGAATGAGGATCAGCAGGGGTCATGTCGCAGGCTGTAGTGAGCGATTCCATGGGGTTAGCCTCCTCAGAAGGAGAGAGAGTCATGATCTGTTGAGAAAGCAAAGGAAATAAAACATAGTGTGAAGTTTCTTTAAAAGCTCTAATTATTCGTTACATAAGAGTACAAACCATTGTACAAGCTAGTTGTTGGTCGACAGGTATTGTTTAACGTACATATTTCACTGTTATTAGAACTAAACATAGCAGCTGGCAATCGGGTCTTATGGCACAGCACTCTACAACACGAACCCATATTTTCAGGTAACCACATCAAAATGTCTGTCTATTTCCCAAAACTTCAGATGTCTGAGGAATTTTTAGACAATATTCCAGCATAATAAAAGTTATTTGGGGAAAATCTAGGCCTTAGCAGATTCGATGGCGCTCAGGGCTCATAACAAATCGCCAGCATTTGTTTCTATTTGCAACCTACAGAGATGAGGCCAGTAGAATCAGTTAGACACCACCTGACATTTCAGATTTTAGTTTAGCAGCCGTGGAAAGTTTCTTTAGCTGCAACTGGAAACCGCATGACTGCTTTAATTACAAAAATAAGTCTCCCAATTGCTACAGAGGCAAGTTCCTACTTACTAGGTCAGAGTGCTCCAGGATCTGGCTGGCTGTGAGGTCTTCCTCTTCGGAGGATTCATCAGAATCCTCATGGTTCATTTTATTGAGGCTGGGAGAACTTCCTGAAAGTTGGCGCTCCTCCAGAAGCTGCATATCACACTTGTCCAGACTATCCAGAGAACGCCTGCGAACTCCCCAGTTGAAATTGTCCATACTCTCGCCCTGAAATCACACCATCAGCTGGTTTTTATGCCAAAATCTTCCTGCACTCACATCTTCACACATTCAATTAGTCATAGCTTAGAAATAAATATTTTCATTATAAACTCTCAAGCCCTCACGTGCTTTGGTACCAAACATTTTGTTTATGTGATGTGAAAAGTAGTAAAAGCATACTGTTTTCCCCAGAATGCATATTAAATCATAGGTAGAAGAGATTACATATTTTTCTTTGGCATGGTGGGTAATATTTTGTTTTTTAAAAGTTGATTTTGGTAAACTCATTTTAAATAATCTGTGTTTCTAAAAATCTGTAAGCAAGAGACCATTAATATTAAAACAACTTCCGAAGAGGTTTACTCCCCCTTCTTCCCCCACCCTTGTTTAGTACTGTTCTCCTAAGGAGAAAAAGTAGGAGCTATGCTTGTAGCACATTCCACATCCTCTGGGTATTAAGTAGAAGAGCATTAGGTAAACATTCCAGCCTGTTTCTGCCGCAGCGGTTTCCACAGAGAAAAATGCAGAGTTAAAGACTATCAGAGAGCAGCTGGGCAAGGTCTGGCGGATCATGCACTATGCAGAGGCCAGAGCAGCACGGTTTAACTTTTGCTTTAGGCTCATCTTTAAATAACTGTCCCAACATAGAAAATAGTTACTTTCCTGGACCTGAAATGATTGACTTGGTGCCAAGCCTTATTCCTGACTGGTACATTTTAATGTACTGAGAACTGGGCTAAGTGGCAGTGTAAGTGTTAAAGAAAGCTTTTAGTTGCATCTCAGATTTTCTCTACAAACTCTCTATATCTGATATAAAATAAGTTTATTTGACCACATAAATTTTTTTTCTAAAAATGAATTTGGGTTTTATTCTTCTCTCTGTTAAGATAGGAATAAAGCAAGAGAAATATTACCCAGCCAACTGGCAAGCAAATTTTAACCTAAACAAATAGGTAATCTGAATAAAATCTAGCACAGAATCCTTTCATTTATTAGACATTTGAAACATTGTCTGATGGTTCATTGAAATAAAATAATTTTTTCTGATGAGAGTTCAGTTAATAGCATAATAATGTAATATGAGAGATGTAAATTACTGTTAAAATTAGTGAGCATTAAATTTATTAATTTTCCTCTGGTTTAATGGTCTATTTCTTCTGGCTTCCAAGGAAACAAAGCTTGCCATTCTCACAGATCTCTCATATAACAGATGCTTAACTTTGCCAAAGTCTATTTTGGCTATTCCTGGTAGAAGGCAACAGGTAAGAATCCTAAACACATTCTGGATATGATCTAGAAATTGTTATCATTATTCATCCCCATTTATGATGTTCATGATTGTTTTTAGGACCGTTTGATTATAAAGAGAAAGCAGATTCAGAATATGATTTCCATATTCTATAGCTGTATCTGCTGTTTTGTCTCTATCTGTACCTTTTATTTGTATCTGCTATGATACATTACCATCAAAAAATATTTTTTCTTGGTGGAAAAGGCTAATTGTTGTGCTGAGATTTTAAAATAGCTATTGCAGTGAAAAAATGAAAAATGTGGAGGAGGCAAGAAGAAAATACAATGTGTGAAGAAATAAAAAAAAGATGAAAAACAAGAATACTATACAGAGAAAAAAGAAGAATGTGAAAATTACTTGGAGAAATATACAAATATAAATATAAAACATCAATTTACAAGACTGATTCTCTTGAACCAAATTAGTGGAAGGATTGGATGAACTACCTTAAGCAACAATTCTGGAAGTCTTCCACACTGAAACTGACACAGAACCATGAGCTTGCAGAGAAACATACATGTCTAGGGCCAGAGAATGCTACACTGGGCATAGATGGCTGTTACTGTTGACTTGGTGGCAACTCTGATGAAGACTTGAATTAATCAGGCATGAGAAGTGAGAGTCAGGGAAAGCTGTTCTTGCAGGAAAAATATCTGGATGTCTTGCTAGAGGATGCAATGGCTCCATTAGAGGCAAAGGTGTTGAAATTGTTTCCCTGGTGGTGGCTGATGGGTTGAGATGGCACAGTGCTGTAGTTTAGCCTAAGTTAAAGTCCATGATTATTAAAAGTCAACCAGGCCTTCTCAGCATGGCACAAGAATACCCCTATTGGGAGAGCTATCTTCCATCTTCCCCATACCCAAATGTCAGATTTGCATTTTATGTTACCTACAAGGTCAAAGGTCAAAATGGTGTTTTACTGATTGTGTCAAATTTTCTGTGTGAGAAAATTTAGACGATGGCTAACCATTCCTTATGGACAATTTGCATATGTCAGTTATCAAACTTAAATAACCACTCAGGATTTACACTGAGATGAGAAAGTATTAATGACTGAACATTCTAGAAATGTTGGAAATAATATTCTTTGAAATAATTTTTTTCATATTGGAACTCCATCAAATAAGAATTATTGTTGAAAGAACTTGGGTGTGCTGTGGTTAAAATATGTTCCCCCAAATGTACCTACTTAGAGTAAGTCTGATATGACATAGATATAGGGTAATCGTAGGTCAGTTTGCCCAGGATGGTCCCTGTTTATGCCTGTTGTCTGGATGTAATTATTATTAGCACCCCCTTTTACTTGCAGAAGGGCCCTCATTCAGATGAAACTTTATATAGTCACCATACAAAGATAGCTCCTAATTCCTGGAAAATTAAAGGATTCCATTGGAAGTGTACATGGAATATTGTTAGATGCAGCTCGTTGATTTCACCTTTAATAAAAGAACTGAACAACAAAACCACTCCAGCTGTGCATCTGTCTAATCAGAAATTATACGATTTCCCTGGATCATATTTAAAAACTCACTTTCTTTCAAGAGATATAATCATGCAACTTCCAGAACTAGGCATATAAAGATTTTTCAACTACCTTGTATTCATACTTTAGAAAATATTTCCATACTAGAGGAACCAAGAAAAAACACTTCTTTTATCACTTACACCTCAATGTAAATACGCACGCAAACAGGCATATATATGCTAGAAGGGAGGAGAAAAGCAATTATGTTGTTATAAATCTGCAATGATGCGAAACATCTACTAGCGTATCTGGATTAAAAACAGCATCATCTTACCTGAAGTTCCTGGGTAGCAGATTGAATGGACAGAAAAACAAATAAGAGGTCTATTTAAAATAATTACATTAAAGATACTCAAGTGTATTTGTCTTAGCTCTAAAACAACAGCAACTAATAATGTTAACAATATATACCTCAGTAGATGCAACTTAAAAAAAAAAAGGAAAGTGACACAAACTGCAAGGAGAAAAATCAGTATCAAACACCAGAAATTTCAAACCTCTGAGTGGTGGATGATGTAGCTGTGGTAACAAATCATAAATACAATTTCTGAAATAGCTTTCCACTTCAGTGACAACTTTGGTCTCCCCAACACTTTTTTTTTTGAATGCCTAAATTTTTATTTATGAGAAAACTGTTAAATGTCATGGGAAAAGGAATGAGGGTCAGCAACTAGAAAAAAAAGGTGACATCACCTGATCCTGCTCACAGAGTTAGAAGTGTTTGTGATTGTGATCTGTTCACTGCTGATGTCCAATTAATAGCAAAGACATAGCAGCACCTTTTAAAGGTTCTGTAAAGTTCAAAGGCAAACCCTTACAGATATTATTTAATGAAAAAGAATAGCCATGACAAAAAAACTGGTCTTTTTTTTGGATAATTGCGTTTTGATCTAGAAGCCAAATATGTTTAACTTTCTCAGATGAGGAGATACTGAAATTATTCACCAATGACGTATAAAGGAACGAACATTTAGCAGGCCTACTGTGTGCCTGACACTACAATAGCAGCTTTACATAGTTTATCTTACTTAATCCTCATGTCACTCTACAGGCAGGTATTGTCATGCCATTTAAAAGATGAAGCCAAGAACAACGGCATCCATGCCTAAGGTCATCTAGCTAGGTCAGTGGCAGAGCTGAAATTCAAAACTGGACCTGCCTGACTTCAAAGCCCAAGCTTTTCACTCTACCACTCTGTAAGCACGCTAGAATCCCTTATTATAATCTTATTGACAAGCAGCAAAACATTCTCAAATGGTTTATTTTATTTGGATAAAATACATACTTTCACACTGTTGAGTTTCTTATAAAATCTTAATCATATAACATAAAATAATCACTATGAAATTTAGTTCTTGTTGGCTAGGACAATAGAACACTAGAAGGAAGGTGCAGTAGTCATTATTTATTGTCCATGAAAAACATTAGTCTAATATTTATTTTCAAGTGGTGAGCATCTGAGATTTTCCTTCCTTTATTTTGACAGAAGTTAAATTTGTTAGTTGTTCTGAAATGGTGTCTGAGCCCTCCATTTTACATCATTCGTGCTAGGTCACTTTACATAACACATTTTTCTTTTTTGGCTGAGGCTGGAAAATGATGCCTCTCTTGCTTCATCAATTTTTCCCTCCTTAGTTTAACTTCCAAGTAAAGACGTGCCCAAGCTTGAATTCTAGCCTCAGAGCCAAGATTAGGTCAGTTGCCCAGGTCAGCGAGCTAATCTTCTGACATTCCATGTAGCTCTGGCTCAGAGATATTGTGAAAGTATTCAAAACAACTGTATTTTGCTTTAGACTTAAAAAATTTTTTTTTTAATTTTTTATTTATTTTTTAAATGTAAGTACATTCACAATTTTCTAAGGAACAGGTTTTACCTTTTTTTTTTTAAAGCTTTCACTTTATTTTTATTTTATTTTATTTTTTTTTAGCAAGATTGGTCCTGCGCTAACATCTGTTGCCAATCTTCCTCTTTTTTTTTCTCCCCAAAGCCCCAGTACGTAGTTGTGTATCATAGTTGTAGAGTTGTAGCTCTTCTAGGTGGGACGCAGCCTCAGCATGGCTTGATGAGAGGTGAGTATCTCCACGCCCAGGATCCGAACCAGCGAACCCTGGGCCGCCCAAGTGGAATGCAGGAACTTAACTGCTACGCCACTGGGCCAGCCCCTGCTTTAGACTTTTTACACAATCCTCACCACATTTAGTGATTGATTTCTTTACCACTAATTATGGTTAACAGTCAGAAAACTCTGCAATACTTTCTATTGGTTCTAGAACAATTCAAGGTAAAAAGTTGACACTTATTTTAAAGATGCCTTACAGTTAGTGCCTTTATACTCTTTAAGGACTGGATCTGCTACACTTGTTTCCCAGGGAAAGAACTGGTAAAGAAAACATTCTTCATTCTGAGGACATGATTTTCCTTTGCTGTTGCAGACATCCAGGGTAGTCACTGGGCCAGGGAGGGACAAAGAGCACAGCTCCTTGGCCTCAACTCGACAGAAGCCGACTGGTCAGCAGTCATATCCTTCCAGGGAAGGCGAGCAGCTACCTGAAGCATCATTTTGCACAAGTTTATAGTTAAGTTAGAAGGTGCCTACCCGCCACAGGATATGATAAACTTTGAATTTGGGCCTCCATTTTAACTGTAAGTCTAGCAGAAAGCCCTTTCTTTGTCTGGGAGATATAGTGCTCCTAGTTAAACGTGAGCTAAAGTATGTTGAGCAACACCATCAGCCGGCTCCCTACCAGGCATTTTTACATATGCCAGTCTCACTGTCATGGATTTAGTTTTCACCCCAGGAGGAGAAGACCGCCTTTCAGCTGAACAGGCCCCCAAGCTATTGAAATGAGAGTGATGGGATGATGCTCCTCCTTCCACCCCCAGGTTTCAAAAACACGATTCATAACTGAAAGCATCTTATTACCATAATTATCATTCAAATAAACGAATCTGCATTTGCCCGTTGAGACTTGAATTCAGCTGCTCCAGGTGTCACGAACTCGAGGTACCCACCCAAAGCAGAGCCAAGAGCTCTCATGTGCGTTTTATCTTGTTTCAAGTTCTAATAATTTCATCAAACACGGCACCAAGGTGCTGGAGCCCTCGAGCTCCCATCTCATGTTGTAGCAGGCAGCTTTAAAGTCATCATATTAGAGCAATTTCACATTTAAGATAATTACTTAGCATGTTTTACCCAGTTACCAGTGAACAGGCTCAGAACTTGAATGTTTTTGTGATTTTTTTTTTTTTTAAAGTTCACCTTTGGACTACACACACACAGTCTTTGTTTGTGTGGTCATTAAAAGTCAGATCTTTGCCATTTAGAAATAACTTGGCAGCTTTGGCTGTGGGCTCAGACAGGAAGGGTGTGGTAACTTTTGCCAAAGTTGAGCTGCTGTACTTTAAATAAGTTGATTCAAAATAAAGTTTACAGCTTTCCAATTAAAGACTCTGTTATAAAAAGTCATTATTTAGCAGGTAAAAAGAAACTGTTTCGTTAGTCAAGGAAAAGGCTGAGTGGATTATTTTTACAGAGAATATACTGTACCTCTCCATCCTCCAGCTCCACGTCTAGGAAATCAAAGTCTCTAAAGACTCTGAATTGCTGCTCACTGTTTGTGTCATCCATGTTCTCCTGCTCTCGGGCGCCGTCCTCAGAGGACACCAAGCTTGTCTGGTGCTCAAGCAGATCCAAATCCCCACATGATGAAAAAATCACCTACGGATCAAGAGTCCTCTCCTGAGAAACCGTTCTCCCTTTAGGTGTTTGTGCTACAAAAAACTGTAATTGGCTCTTCATAGCACTATATTTCCAGTACACACCTAATTCCTTAAGTGGGTATTTTTAGAATGTTCTTTTATTATTTATGTTGGACAGGTGCCTTCAGATTAAACTCTTTGCAAAAGATGCAAGTTCATGCACTAGGAAAATGTTCAAGAGTCAAATTGCTGCTTCTTAATGGATGAAGACTGGATCCTACCTGTGTGTGTGTGTGTGTGTGTGTGTGTCTATGACAATTGAGCATGTGTTCACAGACAAACCAGAGCAGCCAAGAAATTTTCCACTGTTTCTGAACTGATTGAGGTTAGAAATTGTGCACATTCACACACACGTACACGTCACATATATATTATCCCATAATATTTTAAGGACTGCTGATACCAAGATATGTTATTGTAGAATGAACTGTGAGAGCAAAGGATTTAACCCTTTTAGAGATAAACCTGGTAAGGAATAAGAAACAGAAGCAAAAAAGTATAGTACTTGCTCATTTGAATTACAGAAGGCTAGTTGAGCAGCCACGCTCATCACTTACACTTAAATTCCTGTCTTGTTGATTTAAACAAAACAAAACAAAACTTTTTTTCTATTAAAATCTTTAGTATGTTAATATTTTAAAATTAACTTCTATGTTTAGGTTCTTTTCACTGGGCCATTTTAATAGGACTTTGTAAAAACAATAAACTGCAAATGAACCTAAATGTTTTGCTAGCCAGATTCTCCTAAACACAGAGTGATATTAAATAAAGTGAACAGTATTCTTTTTTTTTTTTATAATTTTATTTATTTATTTTTTCCCCCAAAGCCCCAGTAGATAGTTGTATGTCATAGCTGCACATCCTTCTAGTTGCTGTATGTGGGACGCGGCCTCAGCATGGCCAGAGAAGTGCTACGTCTGTGCGCGCCCGGGATCCGAACCCGGGCTGCCAGCAGCGGAGCACGTGCACTCAACCGCTAAGCCACCGGGCCGGCCCATGAACAGTATTCTTTATTTACCATTATAACGTCTAGTCTTCCTTGAAAAGTAGGCAAATCATTTATAAGAATTTAAATATAACAAATGTCTCTCAAAGTAAAACAAGTGAAAGGATTTCAAATGTACTTTTTCTTCCAGTGTTTGAGAACAGTTATATGATTTGCTCTATGTTCTCGTAAAATGGTACATGACACACAGTTTGCACAGGGATTGCCAACAGGTATATGAGGTGAATAGCATTGAGGGCCAGTCAACTAGTTAGTGAGAGACAAGACCAGAATTCTGATTTCTTCAGTTGAAGGCTCCCTTTCCTAGTTAGTGCTGCTTCTCATTTGTAACACACTCCGGGTAAACATTTCTAGCTAGAAAGGCCTCAGCACAGAAGCAGGCAGTTTAGATCTGAAGGAGAAAGTGCCAGCTCCAATGGCAATAAGAAATGGCTCTCGCTGGCAGTGCTGTGTTGCAGAGGCCAAGTGCTCTGGTTTCTCTCCCTTGTGGGCTAGGAGGCTCTGTCTGCCCCTGCTACTATCGCCTCCTCCCCTCTGCCCTAAATAATGTCACAGGAGCAGCAACAAACCCACTGATCAATAACACTAAAAAGGTGACTTCAATGGAGACAAGCTTAGCTGATGGCTGGCTGGAGCACATTCCCAGATGATAAGTATCAATTTGCAGTTTAGCAAGTATTTATCAGCCTCTAGTATTTCACATGCTCATGAACTGCATTAGTAGATACATTTTGGGATTTTAAAAATAGCTCCACAGAGAAATTGTTTGCTAATTCTTACTTTATTTGGGAAATTATTTAGTTTGCTATTTCTTTTTTTGTTAATAATAAAGATGCTGTGATATAGATGAAATAAAAATACCTGGTGAAACCAGACCCTCAGATTTTTATTGCTTTTGGTACAATATACTCACCATACAATTTGAATTTTCTAAATTTTCTAAAACCTTCAGAAGCTAACCTCCAATACTATAATTATTCACTTATTCCAAAGCCCAATTGCATTTTTTAAAAACTGTAACATCAGTGGAAGTTTGAGAAAAACTATGCTATGTCATTATTCTCACCTTTATTGTACATAAGTAAAATACATCACAGGAAGAGATGTGTGTACAGAGAGTAAAATTACACCCAAAAGGAATGTATAGCATGATAGTCACATATATATATTTTAAGGAAGTCTGGGTATATTTATAAAAAAATTGAGAAATTTTTATAAATGAAAATGAGTATTTATTTACAGGCAAACTGGAGCAAATAGCCAACAAAATCTTTCATTGTTTCTGAACTAAGTGAGATTAAAAATCATGGTGTGGAGAGAAATAATCTAGGGGTTTGATCCAGATGGTGGATATCATACTTGTAATTCCTCTAAACTATATTCCTCAACCATAATAGTTGAATCCTCTAAACTATATGACCAAAGGTAAAAACAGACCAAAGGTAAAAAAGATATAGAACCAAAATAAATATGATTCAAGACAAAACTTACTGATGGATTTTTGCTCAATCCTACTTCTTGGCCACACAGAGAAAGGACGTGCACCAACTTCTCTTTTGTCCTCTTCTGGAAAAGAAACACAGAGGCAGGTTTTAATCATGGTGTCCTGTGATCAAATCGGCTCTAATACTGTAGCCATTAGCCACACAGGGCGATCGCACTTGACGTGTGGCCAGTGACAAGGGGGATGTAAAATACACCAAGACTTGGTGTGAAAAAAGAATGTAAAATAGCTCATGAATAACTGTAAAATGTTGATTACATGTTGAAATAATATTTTAGATATATTAGGTTAACTAAAATATTATTTTTAATATTTATTAATTTTATCTGTTACTAAAATTAATTTTATCTGTTTCTTTTTACTATTTTTTTAAAGGTGACTATTAGAAAATTTAAAACGAGGCTCACATTATGTTTCTACTGGACGGTGCTGACCCAAGTTTTCCCAAGAGAGGGGGGTGAAAATCAATTTCTAGATTCTTCAGCAGATATTCATTACTCCTCTTGATAATCTTTTCTTCTATACTACAACTTGCAGCATTAGCAAGGCTTTCCTTACACCTAAATTATATCTATTATGTTACAGTACAAATCTGTTTTCCTCAAATGGGAGAATAACTTTACTTTCTGCAGAATTAAAAAATTCAATTATTTGCAAGGCATATCAAATCTTTCTCAATTTATTCTTCCTAAAGTTAAATACAGTCAATTGCTTTTGCTTTTCTTCATAAACCTTATTTTTTAGCCCCTTAAGCATGGAGATTCTTCTATAAACCATCACATTTTCTAATGACATTGATAAACCAGGTCTCAGAATAATTGGTGAGTTGAGAATGAAAAGGTAGAGTAACCAGAGCCTAAAAAATGTTAATGTACTTCAGAATTGCTCTTAAAGCAATTTTCCTAATCTCTTTAACATGATTTTTCCCTTTTAATCTGATTGCAGTTAATGTGGAGACTGCTAGGAGGCCAGTATCACTCACAGATTTTCCTTCTTAATGCAACTCGGTTCACTGCATCCTTCTGTCCAAATTATAGAAGGGACACTCAATATGATGACTTTTCAAAGTCAAAGACAGGAGGACCTTGATGTTGAAGGATGGCAAGAGATTCGCTAAACTTTTTCCCTAACTTTTAGTGGGCATTTTACAGTTCTGGGAAGGAATCAATATAGAGGAACATGGAATTGGGCTGTATATTTTTTTTCTCTTTTCTAAATCCCCAAGGAAGTGTAGTAGGCTCCCTTATTCAACAACTCGATGAACACTCACCGAGAATCAGCTCCGCTCCAGGGGGCACTGTGCTGTATGTTCCACTTCCCTAACCTTTGAGAGTGAAGAGGAGTCCTGCTGGGCATGCAAACAAAGTGTTTTTCCCTGCTCAGTTCCCCTTCCCCTTCTTCCAGTAATGCAGTCCCTCTTTTTATCTGGGAACAGCTCCTCTCCCCCTAAGTGGGGCTTTGCCTCCCTTGCACACACTGCAAGAGTCCTTTTTCTGGAATTGCTATGGAAGTGGGGGAGAGAAGGCCTCTGTCCTGAAATCATCAGAGCCAAAGACCATGTAAATCTGGAGCTGCCAGGGGTTGTTGGTGCCTCATAGGGGAAGAATCTGCCTGAGGATGAAGTCAGCAGAGAGGAAAGCGGGGCCAAGACTTTGGGAAGGGATAGTGGGGACAGTGAGAAGGAGAGAGAGTCTAAGGATCTAGTTCCTGATTTTGTCTACTAGAATCCAGCTGTGTTTGAAGCCAAGATATATGAGTTAATAAATTCCTTTTCCACTTAAGGTAATTTTTCATTGGGCTTCTGTCACATGTCACCAAAAGAGAGACCCTGAATAATGTAGGAATTTTACTTGGCATTAAGTTCAGTGACATCAATACTGTGATGCAGTCACCCATAGAGTGAGTACAGTCTTAGGCATGATAACAGAACTACAGAGAAATCTGGCAGCTCACTCTGCTCTGTACGGCTCAGACTGTGCGTGGAGACCGTGACTGCAGTGCACGCTCAGCAGCCAGAATGGTCACTGGATGTGCGGCCCCATCATATAGAATTGGTTGGGAGAACTCAGGATATATTATTTGTAGAAAAGAGGACTCATGTGGGTGAGTGGCAGAGGGGGTAGGGTTTCTTTAAATGTTTGAAGCACTGCCATGTGAAAGAGAGATCAGATATCATTTTCTAAGCCTTAAGAGAACTAGGACCAATGGGTAGAAGCAACAAAATTGTAATAAGCTGTTCAAAGATAAAATGGGTTCCCTTGGAATGTTGTGAGATCCTCATCACTGAAGTGTTGATGCCTAGATGGGCAATGTTGGGATGGTGGATGGGGGAATCTCATATTACATGGGCAGTTGGGCTCAGTAGGTCCCCTAAGCTTCCTTCTAATCCTGGGAGTCGAGGATTCTATACCTGAGAATACTGGGGCCTTTTCCAGCTTACAGGAACAAGGACATTGGAGTTGGAGCCTGACGAGGTGGAGGACGTGCTCCGGGTGACGGCCATAGCCCTGGGCTTCCCATCACGCCCAGAAGAATTCTGCAGTTCATCATATCGCCTCCCGATGATTGGTGTCTTGAGAAAAAAAGATACAAAAGCACACGTTCTATCTCATTCATAGTTCTGTAGTACATGGGATGGCTCTACCCAGCAGCAACCAAGAACTGCTTGAAGTTCAGTGTTACAATTAAGCTCATTTTCCTGATGTTCAAATATACATTCTACATCATTTTGCATCTTCAACATTTTCCCACCCTCTTTAGCAGCTGGAAACAAATCCAATTGTTTATTCTTAAACATCCTTTAGAAAGCACTGATAAAGATTAGAAGCAAAACATTTAGGAAAGCAAATGGTCAGTTTTCAGATGCTTAAGCTTGAAAGAATTTCTTATAACAGGAGATCAAAATTCCTTCCCCTCTTCCTTTAATCACCAATCTTTATATACTCTCAATTATTTAAAAATTTATTTAAACTATTTATATCTTTTCAGTTATTTGAATGAATGAGGTCAGGGCCAGGTACTTGGGCAACACTTTAGAAATTTTACTTTCTGAGAGTACTGGAGTGTGGGGGCTGGGTGGGCAGCACCTCCCAAACTTTAGCCCCAAGGAGGTCTCCTCTGCAGAAACCAGCTCATGGGCCTACACTCTGAGGTGGCAGAAACCAACTGGTAATTCTCCACTTGGTTCTCAAGGCCCATCATTCTGGGTCTCTAGGCTGTGCAGCTGACTGGCTGTGTGTCTTCTGTATCCCTTTGGAATAGAATAAACTTAAGTCAAAGAGTAAAAGTAGTTTTTCCCTCCTAGCAATATAAAAAAATGTTAAAAATGGAGAAGTATTGATTTGATACCTTAATATCATATATATATACTAAATATAGATGCAGGTATCACAATGGCAGCAAAACAGTATCTCATCCTGAATACTGAGACCATTGTGTGAAGAAACCCAACCTGGCTCCAACCTACTTAACAGAGCGAGTAAGTTCCATATCAGCAGATCTGGTTTATTCCTTTAGTGGATTTATTCATTCAGCATGTTGAAGAATATTTATTAAGTACCCATCATGCGCCCGACACTGTCCCAGACCCTGGTTACAGGATGAACAGAGCATAGTTCCTGCTTTGGGGGCTTATGGGTCATGGGGTAGGAGAGACAGGAAAGCAAAGTATTTTTACATCTTAGACGAAAACAGTTCAGTGCAGGCCTCTCAAATGTTCCTTCATGGACCAGCAGGTAAATCTGACTGCTTTCTGCCCTCTCTTTTCTTCCTGACTCCATAGCGTTGTTCGCTCATCCCTTCCCTCTGCACTCCCCTCTCCCTCAAGCCAAGAATTTAGATAATTCTACCAGTTTAAAAAGCAGTGTGGCTTAGGGAAGCAACTGTAAAGGCTCTGTATTCCTGTAAATCGCAGCCATTTGCTGGTCTGGCTGCAGTTCAGGGAACAGGGTTGTGGAGATAAATATAGGACATGACAGTTGTCAGATAAAGAATGAGTGCAGGTCATGGTTTAAAATGCTTAAGATCATTCCATTTAAAGTTGTCTTTTTTGGAATCATTTTTATATAAGTAAGGCTGGCTTTTATTTTTAAAAGCTGCCAATTGAGAACCCCAGGGAATGTGACACTCGATGTGTTCTTAACAAACAGAACCTAATTTAGGTCTTAGAAGCCTTCATTTGAAATAAATGGAAAATAAGTCTCCCTTTGCCCAGGCAACTAGTTTTGCCCTTTGCCACTATATCTTCATGCTACAGTTTACAGAAACAGTTAACATACCTCTGAAATATCAAAGTGAAAGTCCAGGGTTTTTCCAGGTAATTCCTTAGACGCACTCGTCCACACTCGATGTATTTCTATCTTTGAGAGGTCACTGTGCTGATAAGAAGGCAACACTAGGCTGGCAGATCGAGAAACTACCAGCTTTAAGATATTCAAAGCTTCTCTCCAGTGAACACTCTGAAGGAAATAAAACATTCAATGGTTAAAAATAATTTCGTTTTTAAAAATGAATATACTGCTAGCTACTGAAACGTCTTATGATCAGTCAGAATTCACTGATTTAAAGATTTTATTTATTTATTTTTTCCCTCCAAAGCCCCAGTAGATTGTTTTATGTCATAGCTGCACATCCTTCTAGTTGCTGTATGTGGGATGCGGCCTCAGCATGGCCAGAGAAGCGGTGCGTCCGTGCACGCCCGGGATCCGAACCCAGGCCGCCAGCAGCGGAGCGTGTGCACTTAACTGCTAAGCCACGGGGCCGGCCCAGAATTCACTGATTTAAAACAGTGCAGGAAGTTCTGTGATAAGTAAAAGGCACATGACATAAAAAGATAGTTTATATATAAGATGAGCTACATTTAGGAAACAAGCAAATAAAAAAACCCAATTTTGTCCATATTCAAATAAATAAAAGTTTAAAATAACAAGGTACCATTTTTGCTAATGAAATATCTCCTTAATTTGAATAAAAACAGTCCCCACTGCATTTTATGCTACTGACCACTCACCCTTTCTCAAAATTCTCCCATCTGCAATTTCTGGTCTTCCTTGGTCCCTCCCTACTTCTCTGGCTCTGCCTGTCCCATCTGCTTTCTGGGCGCCTGATCTCTGCCCTCAGCCCTTTTCTTGTTTCACTCTATATCTTCCTCATGACCTAACCCAAGAATCTGGGAGCCATTCTTAACTCTTCTCTTTCCCTCCCTCCTGATAATTTGTTCCTGCCACTCCATTCCTGCTGGCACTGGCTCAGCTGAATCATCTTGGGCCTCTGCCTGGACTATTTCAATAGTCTCTTAACTGATCTCCCTGTTCAAAACCTCTACTTAAGTCCATAATACCCACCTTAGCTACAGTGATCTTTCTGGAACTCTTCAGATCATGCCACTTCTCTGCCTAAACTTCTAGGGCTTCCTCTGGTGGACAGGGGGAAGTTCACACTCTTTGCGCATGGCTTACAGGGGTAATCTCCCCCAGGCCACCCCTGGAGTTCCCCAAACCAGCCAGGCAAGGTCTCTTAGCCTCTGTGCCTTTACTCATGGTATTCCTTCATTCTGGAAGGCCTTTTCTCTCCTTAGTTGCTTATCAAACACCTCCTCTTCCTGTAAGACTCACTTTATCATCTTTGTCTCCCTGACAGTCCCCAGGCAGACTGAGGTGCTTCTCCCACAAAAATATTGAACATAGATAAACTAATTTGATAAAAGTTATTATTTGCCCAGGCTTTAGAATAAAAGCACATGAAATAAAACACATTTCTTTTGCTGTTAGATTCTGCACAAGGGAAGTCATGGTTTGAATGTGAAATTAGCTGCCATTCAAGATAAGATATCTAGTACCAGAGATGCCACAGGCCTAGCTAGGAGAGAACAGGCAGCCTAACAAAACAGTGAAATGGGGCGCACGATTGGTAGAAAGATGTGAACTGCTCCTCTGTCTCCCATGAGTGCTGTGAAGTGAGAAAGTGTTACTGAAGGCCTACCATGTGGCACAACTATTATTGGAGCAATACCGCTGGAAAAATGGAAAAAAAATGCTTGGAAATCACTTTTAACATTAAATAATATCAGTAAGTAATGTGACTGGTGAAGTGAAGATAGAAAGAAATGTCTAGAATTTACATTGTATGGCTTTGTCAGAGTTTAACCAGAGAAAACCTAGCATTTGCCCTTGAACTCTGCAACTCATCAAGTACACTGCTGTGTTTGTTTGCTGGAGTATTTTCAAGTACATTTATGCAAGTTTCTTTTTTTTTTTGAGGAATATTGGCCTTGCACTAACATTTGTTGCCAACTTTCTTCTTTTTTTTTCTTGTTTTTCCCCAAAGCCCCAGTACATAGTTGTGTATCATAGTTGTAGAGCTGTAGCTCTTCTATATGGGATGCCACCTCAGCATGGCTTGATGAGCGGTGAGTTGGTCCACACCTGGGGTTCTGAACCGGCGAACCTCGGGCTGCTTAAGCCGAGTGTGCGAACTTAATCTCTACGCCACCAGGCTGGCCCCTATGCAAGTTTCTTAATCTCAGTTTCCTCAACTCTAAAATGGCGATTTTAACCTCTGAATTAATGCTTCACCTGTTGAAGCAGCTGGCCTAGAACCTGGTACATGCAAGTTCCTTCTCCCTTTTCCTTTGAAATAGGACACTACAAATAAGACCTTGCCCCTGCCCTTCTAGCCAGGTGCATGCTTTCAGTATCCAGCTTGTAAGCCCCAAGAGGCAGAAATGTGTCCTCTGGAGGCTCAGGAACACACGGGGCCTGGTCCTGTCTTTCTCCTCAGTATACCATTCAGGGTGAGATCAGCTCTCACTCTTGACTGCTCTCAGTGTGTTATGGATGTCAAAGAATGAATGCATGACCTGACACCCATAGAGCTTTGTAGCAAAATACAAGTGACATGCAAAGCCTTGGTGTTTCTGGCATGACTCCAGGAAACCTCCTGGTTCCTAAGTGAAGTCATTCAAATACTCACTTGCACATATTTTTCAATGGTCTTCAGAACTTCCACATTAAACTGCTTTACAGGGACGACTGAGAGGTCCATGTAGCTGAGCAGACTGTAGATGACCTGGAGGAGGGGCTGCTGCATACTAGGGAGGCCCTTCTCCAGCAACTGTGGGAGGCAAGGCCCAGCATGAGTCAGTTCGACACGGATTTTCACATAGAAGCACCAATGTTTCCCAATACTTTTATGACTGTACATTATCTTAGGAGGGAAAGGAAAATCCTAACTACTGAAGAAATGAAGATATTATCAAAGGCAATGTAGGTAGGTCTGAATATAAAAATATAATATTCCCACAATGGAATACAACAAAATAAGCCTCAAAAGAAAAGCATCAAACATCACTAATCATCAAAAATTACAAATTAAAACAAAAGATACAATTTATCAGGTTTCAAATTGGCCAAGATTAGAAATTGATAACAGTATTGGTGAGGATATAAGATGGGTATTCTTACACATCAGTGGAAATCTAAATTGGTTTATTTGGCAATTGAGGTCAAGAGTACTAAAACAGTTCATATCTTTTGAAATAGTCATTAGACTTTCAGGAACTTTTCCAAAACTACAGATTAACACTAAGATTTATGTATGAGATTTCACTATGGCATTATTTATAATGGTAAAACAAACAAACACACGAAACAAAACAAGAAAGCTCTATAAGGAATTTAAATGTTGAACACTAGGGAAATGAATACATAAATTACGGTAAATTGTATGAAGAAATAGGCAGTCAATAGAATGACAGTTTTAAAGATAATAATGGATATCAGATAATATTAAATAAAAGAAGGATATACAATTTCTATGTAATGGATGATGCCAATATTGATGTGAATGTGTGTGTTATATAGAAATAACATTGGAAAGAAATCCAACAAAATGTTAATTCTTCTTTTCTCTTTTTTTTTTTTTTTTTACTTTTCTGTACCTTCCAAATTTTCTGTTATGAACATATACTGCTTTTATAATCAGGAAAAAAAATCAATGATATTTTCAAAAAGGAATGCAAGATAATGAGAATATATTTGTGACAGACATCATGATAAAGTTTACTGTTCAAATTAAAGAATTAACAGAAATGATTCAAATAAACACTGAAATTCCACATCAAAAGTGGTCAAAAGAAATAATTGTGTGGTTAACACATGAGGAAATAAGAAATTACAAAAATCTATTGTGTGGAAAAATGAACATCTTCACTAGAAAGGAAATACATAAAGAGAAAAATTTTAAAGTACCAATAAAAATACTAAACTGCAAAAATGAATAAATACAATGATAAAATTTAGTGGATATGTGAAAACAAGAATATTTATACATTGTTTTTAGTATTGTAAATTGGGCAAAACTCTGGGAAGACCAATTTCCCAAATGTGTGGAAGAACTAAATCATATATGCACACATCCATGCCCTTTACCTGGATAGTTACTTTGGGAAATGCCACCAGAAGAAATGATTCAAACATAATCTGAGACAAAGTCTACATAAAAGGATCATTTGTAATTGAAAAAATTATGAATATAAACAACAAAAGGGAGATGGTTAAGCAAGTTGTGTTACATTAACCTGATGGAATTTCACAGTTACTGAAAATGACACTGTGTGAGCCATGTCAACACATGGAAATACACACACAAAGTTAATGTTAAGTGAACAGAGCAGGTTCAGTGGAAATACTGACCACAGCTACCGAAAAATATGTGTATGTGCCTGGCCAGCACCTGAAAGAACAAGTGAGTAACTGAAATAGGAGTGAATATATATTCTATATGGTGGGAAGGTACGTTTGTAATAAAATTTTTTGGTTACAATTTGTGATAAGGGATGAATAGAACAAACTAGGTAATCCATTTTTTATTTATTTTTTAAATTGTGGTAAAATATATATGACAGAAGATTTATCATTTTAACCATTTTTAATTGTACAATTCAGTGGCATTAAGTACATTCACATTGTTGCGCAACCATCACCACTATTTATTTCCAGAACTTGTTTATCATCCCAAACTGAAACTCTGTAATCATAAAAAAATAACTCTCCATTACCTCCTGTCCCCAGCTCGTGGTTAAAATGGAACTGCTATTCTACTTTCTGTCTCTATAAATTTGCCTATTCTGTGTACCTCATATAAGTGGAACGGTATTTGTCCTTTTTTAAAAAAATTTTTTAGTTTATATATATTTTTCTATTGTGAAATTTTTATTGTACATTATTGTTTATCAGTCACCATATAAGTGCATCCCTCCACCCCTTGTGCCCACCCCCCACCCCCCTAGCCCCTGGTAACCACCAAACAGTTCTATCTGTGTGTGTGTTGGTTTATCTTCCACATATGAGTTAAATCATGCAGTTTGTCTTTCTCTTTCTG